CCCCACCTGGAGCTCCTCCCACCGGACCAGCGCTGACTCGCCGCTGCTCTCCCGCGCCGAAGGTAAGTGAAAAAAACAAAAAAACATAGCGCAAACATCGGGGCATTTTGACAAATACTTGTCAAAATGCCCTGTTTTTACAGGGGGTCGGGGGCAGGGCCTGGGATCAGATAAAGAGGGTTAAAAGATGCAGGCTGCCATTCAACCCAAACACCTAAGGACATCTAGGGAGCATTGTTAAACAATTCTCAGAAAAATTGCATGTATATTCACTCTTTGAGAGTAGCACCCACTGCCCCCAGCACTATCAGCAGCATCCACTGCCCCCAGCACTATCAGCAGCATCCACTGCCCCCAGCACTATCAGCAGCACCCACTGCCCCCAGCACTATCAGCAGCACCCACTGCCCCCAGCACTATCAGCAGCACCCACTGCCCCCAGCACTATCAGCAGCACCCACTGCCCCCAGCACTATCAGCAGCACCCACTGCCCCCAGCACTATCAGCAGCACCCACTGCCCCCAGCACTATCAGCAGCACCCACTGCCCCCAGCACTATCAGCAGCACCCACTGCCCCCAGCACTATCAGCAGCACCCACTGCCCCCAGCACTATCAGCAGCACCCACTGCCCCCAGCACTATCAGCAGCACCCACTGCCCCCAGCACTATCAGCAGCACCCACTGCCCCCAGCACTATCAGCAGCACCCACTGCCCCCAGCACTATCAGCAGCACCCACTGCCCCCAGCACTATCAGCAGCACCCACTGCCCCCAGCACTATCAGCAGCACCCACTGCCCCCAGCACTATCAGCAGCACCCACTGCCCCCAGCACTATCAGCAGCACCCACTGCCCCCAGCACTATCAGCAGCACCCACTGCCCCCAGCACTATCAGCAGCACCCACTGCCCCCAGCACTATCAGCAGCACCCACTGCCCCCAGCACTATCAGCAGCACCCACTGCCCCCAGCACTATCAGCAGCACCCACTGCCCCCAGCACTATCAGCAGCACCCACTGCCCCCAGCACTATCAGCAGCACCCATTAGCATCTTTTCTTTGCCGGTCGAATGTAATATGAAGAAAGTACCAGATTATGGCCACTAGATGGCGCTGCACCGGAAATATTATTATTATTATACAGGATTTATAGAGCGCCAACAGTTCGCGCAGCGCTTTACAATATAAGGAAGACATTGCAATCACAATACAATTCAAGACAAGATGGTAAGGAGGGTCCTGCCTGTAAATCCCTACTTCATATGCTCTTGAGATCCATCTAGTGGCCATAATCTGCATGCTATATTTACCTGATATTACATTCGATCTGCTAAAAAACATTCATATTTGCCTCCATCTGTACAGAATAAATGTACATATAATTGTGCATGGTGAATCTCTCTGTGAATTGTTTATAAATACACCTCCGAAGTGTAGAAGTACTTCGGAGGACGGCTCTGGATTGAAGGAGAGGGATGTAGCAAAAAGCTGTTTTTTACTTTATCTTTAAATGGTCTAACAAACGGATAGGCAATCTTGATACTCCAGCTGTTGTGGAACTACAAATCCCATTAGGCACTGCAAGACTGAGAACCATAGGCAAGATGCCTGCTGGTAGAGGCATGATGGGATTTGTAGTTTCACCACAGCTGGCGTGCCAAGGATGCACACCCCTTTCTAATAATGTTTTTTTTTTTTTTTACTGTAGTCGTGCTTTAATGTACTATTACAATCTCTTTTCCCTTTCAAGCTTCCAGATTGCAGATTAAATCAAAGGAAACAAATGTTTTTGTTGCAGATTCCATGCATTTTTTGTCTGCTTGTTTGACCTAAAACATAAATAAATAGAAAAAAGTCAGCGATGATGATGATGATGATGATGGCTGTGTCTTGGGATTGGTTACGAAAATAGCATTGTGTTTTGGCAGCGGCAGATTCTGTTAATGTAGAGCTACAGATCTGTTTAGTGATGGAGCCATTACACTGAACAGACAGATGCTGGGAGAAGTGAGAATGAAAAAGGACGCCAACATTTCTATGTATGAAAACATCATAAAGCGAGACGCTGAAGACAACAACATGTGACAGTGCACTGCAGATGATAAACATCATTCTTCACACCGTAACATCCTTATCCTGAGGTTCCTTATAATGACTTGTCAAATGCCCACCGAAAGCTGAAATCATACTTGGAAATATCGTTCTGTAAAAAGAGGGACTGCAGGAAGCGGGTAATGGAACTACAGAAGGGAGGGAGCTCATGGCCATGGAGAATGCAAAACTTGTAATATTAAACTCTCAAACTTTTTTCAGTAATAGATCCAGATCACAAAAATGTACATGGTCCAGCAAAGTGTTTCTGTCAATTTTTGTCCAAGCACTTACCGTCATGATTCCATACAGCTCAAACTCTCTCAGCTCCACTTCCCTAAACTTCCTGTCCAGTACAAGATCACAGGGATAGAGCAGTCGGCAGCAGCAATCCAGCTACTGGCTTGGAGGAGGGAAGAGCAGGGTAAAGGTTTGCCTTGCTGTGTCTTTGCTCTTGTGGGGACACACACAGCTTACTAGCACACACAAGGGTGACTCTATAGGAACCTGCAAGGGAAAGGAGCCACCCTAAAACAGGATATTAGGGTCAGTGTTCGGGGGACCAGCTGATTCTGCAGGCAACTAAACTTTTAAACATCAAGGAACAGCATCCATTGTAAGTGATTTAATCAGCATTTGAAAAAGCATAAAACATTTTGACTTAGAACATATTTGTTCTCTAAGACAAAAGAATTAGGAAATGCAAATGATATAGTAATGTATGTATGTGTGTCTACCAATCTTGTCAAGTATTTCATTCATGTATTAATAATTGGCATAAGTCCTGCAGCTAAAAAGTGTTAATTAAAAAATGATAATAATAATATAAGTACTAATAATTATCTATAGATATGTTAGGGGTGCACAATACTGATACCAGTATCGGTACCGGTGCTGATACTAGGCGTTTGCAGGAGAACGCGTGAAAATGCTCCAATACTAAAAACCGATACCGGCACTTTAATTTTTCTAATTGAATCGGCTGCCTGAGGTCCCACGTTTGCTGGGGACCTTGCACCAGCCTTCTGGGGAATCACGATTCTGTTGGCCTGCACAGGTCCCCCTCCTGAGAACTTCTGCACTCCTCCTGTGAGCTTCTGCACTCCTCCTGTGAGCTTCTGCACTCCTCCTGTGAGCTTCTGCGCCCCTCCTGTGACCCTTCACACTACTCCTAAGACCCTCTGCCCAAGACATCAGGCCGGCACCTTGGAGCAGAGCGGTAGCACAGAGTATGAAGCAAATTTATATACTATTATTCTGCATTGCTGTATAATGTATTGCTGGGATTTGTAGTCCTCTATAGCTGATGCCATTCTGCATTGCTGTATAATGTATTTCTGAGATTTGTAGTCCTCTATAGCTAGTGGTATTATTCTACATTGTTGTATAATGTATTGCTGAGCTTTGTAGTCATCTATAGTTTGTGGTATTCTGCATTGCTGTATAATGTATTGTTGGGATTTGTAGTCATCTATAGCTGATTATATTATTCTGTATTGCTGTAAAATGTATTGCAGGGATTTGTAGTGAACTATAGCTGATGGTATTATTCTATAATGTATTGCTGGGATTTGTAGTCCTCTATAGCTAGTGATATTAGTCTGTATTGCTGTATAATGTATTGTTGGGATTTGTAGTCCTCTATAGCTGATGATTTTATTCTGCATTGCTATATAATGTATTGCTGGGATTTGTAGTCATCTAAAGCTGATGGTATTATTCTGCATTGCTGTATAATGTATTTCTGAGATTTGTAGTCCCCTATAGCTGATGGTATTATTTTGCATTGCAGTTAGTGGCAAAACTACCAGGGTTGTAGCTGTGACTGCACCTTGGTTCTCCACCACTGTCCAAAAATCATTAGTCTGTATTGTTTTAGAAAATCGTATTGGAGAGTACTTGAGGAAAAGTATTGGTAGTTGTGCTCAGTCTGGAAAAAATGGTATCAGTGCATCCCTAATATATTATTGAAACACTTCTGTAAAGAAACTTTTGCTTGGAATAAACATGGTTTGAGTGCTGCAACCTCGGACTCTGATTGATATATATATTTATTATTCTGTTTTAGAAGGCTGAGGAAGATTTGATTTCTCTGGAAGACGTCTTATGTTTTAGCTATAAAACTACTGCTGGTTCATGATGACACTGCAAGGCTGAAAGGCGCTTCCCCTCAGCTTGCCAGGGTCACATGGTCTTGTGAATAGCGTTATGTAAATACTGGCCGCAGGGCACATACTGGAGGAGTGTGGGAATTTTCCCCAGCGCTGCCCTGAAAAGGAGCAGACAGATCTGGGAAAGTCAGATTAAGGATAAATAAGCTGCAACAGCCAAAATTCGAGGCATCCTAAAAGCATCCATTTTCATGTCAGTGACGACTGATAGAAGAATTGATGTCATTTACTCTGGAGCATAAAAGAGAAATAAACAGTCATTTTATATTATAACTGAAGACCACATTCAAGTCTTAAAGCTGAACTCCCGGCAGACATAAAGGCGTATAATAATGCAGCATTGTAATCATGAATGGAGTTATAAAGCTTCTGCACTCCTCCTGTGAGCTTCTGCGCCCCTCCTGTGACCCTTCACACTACTCCTAAGACCCTCTGCCCAAGACATCAGGCCGGCACCTTGGAGCAGAGCGGTAGCACAGAGTATGAAGCAAATTTATATACTATTATTCTGCATTGCTGTATAATGTATTGCTGGGATTTGTAGTCCTCTATAGCTGATGCCATTCTGCATTGCTGTATAATGTATTTCTGAGATTTGTAGTCCTCTATAGCTAGTGGTATTATTCTACATTGTTGTATAATGTATTGCTGAGCTTTGTAGTCATCTATAGTTTGTGGTATTCTGCATTGCTGTATAATGTATTGTTGGGATTTGTAGTCATCTATAGCTGATTATATTATTCTGTATTGCTGTAAAATGTATTGCAGGGATTTGTAGTGAACTATAGCTGATGGTATTATTCTATAATGTATTGCTGGGATTTGTAGTCCTCTATAGCTAGTGATATTAGTCTGTATTGCTGTATAATGTATTGTTGGGATTTGTAGTCCTCTATAGCTGATGATTTTATTCTGCATTGCTATATAATGTATTGCTGGGATTTGTAGTCATCTAAAGC